AGGCTGAAGTGGCAATGGGCAGGGCACATAGCACGCAGAACTGACGGCCGATGGGGTAGCAAGGTTCTGGAGTGGAGGCCGCGTACCGGAAAACGCAGCGTGGGACGTCCACCCACAAGGTGCACCGACGACATCATAAAGGTAGCAGGAAGGCGCTGGACGCAGGCCGCTACCAACCGGGCAACATGGAAAGCATTGGGGGAGGCCTATGTTCAGCAGTGGACGTCCTATGGCTGAGATGATGATGATATAGAACCTGACCCAATCGGACAGACACGGCTTGACTTATCTTCCGATAAAAGCACTAATTACATTTCTTTTCAAATAATGAAGTTTATTTACACCTGCAATGTCTTAACCAAGGTGGAAATAAAGACACAAAGTGATTTAATATTGTATGTGTCCATTTTAGAGTTGACCATTTTAAAGTTAAGGAAGCACTTAATTAGCAATGTAGATTGTAATATAATAAGGAAGAACCGAAGATTATAAAAATTAAGAAATGCGAAGACCAACTTCCTTAATACGACAATAAAAGACAATATTTTCTAACACTAACGTCCGACACTGTCTTTAATTTATACGTTACTAGCTGACCCGGCGAACTTTGTTCCGCCTTAATGGCAATAAAAAGTATCCTATGTCCTTCTCCTGGCTCTAAACTACCTCCCTGACAATTTTCAGCTAAATCGGTTCAGCCGTTCTTGAGTTATAAGTGGAGTAACTAACACGACTTTCTTTTATATACAGTGTGTCCGGGCATGTAGTGATCAAACTTTAAGGGCGTAATCTATGGACAATTTTATCGATGAAAATACTTCAAATTTGGGGCCTGACCCATTTCTAGAAAAATTACATCGATTTAAGTTTTTAATTTTTAGTTTACACCTCTGCTTTAAAAAACAAGTGAAAGCGTGGGTAGCTTAACATTAATAGGCAAATATTTTATATCATGCGATAGAAAATAAAATTATCTATTAGTAGAAGAAGAAAGCAGACACAAGTTACATACATTTTATGGGAGTAAGAATGGATTTAATTAGAAAAATACATTACTTTTTTCACTTCTTTTTCAGTTATTTTCCAACACAAGAAAAACCAGGTCGATAAGGTATGTTTTATTTGCATTGTATTTTTAGTATTTGAGCTATTCTACAAAACGAATGTAAATTTATTAGTCTACGTCTATTAGTTTCGACGTAATTGTTGAACAAAGATACCCCTTCCCAGCGGTTTCCGTAGTAATCGGAATAGGTTGTGTGATTCTTTCAGGCAGTGCATTTTCGCATGTCGCGTGCGCTATGGAAACCGCTGGGAAGGGGTATCTTTGTTCAACAATTGCGTCGAAACTAATAGACGTAGACTAATAAATTTACATTCGTTTTGTAGAATAGCTCAAATACAAAAAATACAATGCAAATAAAACATACCTTATCGACCTGGTTTTTCTTGTGTTGGAAAATAACTGAAAAAGAAGTGAAAAAAGTAATGTATTTTTCTAATTAAATCCACTCTTACTCCCATAAAATGTATGAAACTTGTGTCTGCTTTCTTCTTCTACTATTAGATAATTTTATTGGCTATCGCATGATATCAAATATTTGCCTATTAATGTTAAGCTACCCATGCTTTCACTTGTTTTTTAAAGCAGAGGTGTAAACTAAAAATTAAAAACTTAAATCGATGTAATTTTTCGAGAAATGGGTCAGGCCCCAAATTTGAAGTATTTTCATCGATAAAATTGTCCATAGATTACGCCCTTAAAGTTTGATCACTACATGCCCGGACACACTGTATACAGGGGTTAGTCCTAAGAAAGTCAAAAACATGTAACGGAATCTCCGACTTACCACTTTAGTGGAGCGATTGCAGAAAATAATGGCCTATTAAGTACATGTTTTTTTGTGTTATTATGAAAGTTCAGAAAACTGCGCAGTTTTTAAAATTAATTTGGACCTATGGAATTTCTTTTTTTTTTTTAACTTTTAAGTTGAAAATTTTAGAATGTTCCGCTAATAGCATATTTTTTATGTTTCTAGCAAAAATTTTGTATCTTGCATCAAAGATAGGAAGTTGATTATTTTTTTCAAAAATCAGCAATTAATAGGGAATCTGTCAAAAAAAGAAATCTGAGAAAAGTCGACCCAAAAAAAAGATAAAAAAATTTAAAGCCTACTGGGTCATACAATTTAAAAAAAATCACAAAATTTACGATAACTTCTAAACTATGAAAAATCGTAGAACATACATGGGGGTGAAATCGATAGGTCTAGTCCTCACCTATCACCTGCCTTCGGCTTGACACCTTACAAGAAACACCCTGTATAGATAGATTAGTTGCAGCTGTGTAAGAGTTCACTTGTGTGTTTTCTGTCCTGTAAGCCAATAGTTACACACACATTCCGAAAGGGCATCTCGATCGATTTTATAATCATTTCGGCGAAACGTGCTATAAGGTCAGTAGAAAGATCCGTCAGAAACAAATATAGGTGTTGTCTATGAATTAACTACTATGCTACCGAATAATCTTACGGATTATTTTCTATCATACGCTTAATTTTAATTTTATATCAGTGGTAATAATTTCGGGTCCTTTTTTATTACCCGACTGCGCCATAAGAATGGTTATCTTCTATTTTGTAAGACCGTTCAGGCGAAATTTCATTCACAATAGTAACCATTTAGAAAATATCTTTTTCATCTCCTATTTTGCAAGAAATTCACTCACTAAAGCATTTAGAAAATATAAGTTATATTTTCAATTTCGATGTCACACGTGGATTATAGGTACATAACCCACGCTATGAACAAGTAATTTGCAATACATATATCACCATAATTATCATGTTATTTTTGGTTACATAGTCTCATAAATTTTTAGTAGATGAAGCGATAAACCAAACGATAAAATCGATTAAGAAAAAAGGGTTCGGTATATTTTAATAGTTAATTTCTCTTAATTTCTTATTAACTGTGCAATTAAACTTAAAAAAAAAACAGAGATTTGTACAACGCCAACGCGACTGTTCTTTCGTTTCAAACCTCAAAAAAAAAACTGAAATAAGTATTTTGATTAGTGACTAAGCGCGTGAGATACCAAATCCTTTCACATTTTTCTATTATTTTTTATCTTAAGAAGATAAGATTTAAATGTTTAACCTATTCGTAATTTTATTGTCAGTCTCCCTCAGGGATGGTTTCTATCAGCCGTTAGGCCGTTACCTTGTCATCGAATACACAAAGGAAGGTAAAATAAGTGTTGATTAATATTTATACACAACATTTGATTAGGTAAACATATTTTTAAAAGCAAAAGTTGAGTAATCAATTAATGCTTGATGATTTTTTGAATAATTAAAGTATTTTTTAAAATTTTTACCCAGAGGTTTACTCGTGAATGTTACAGTACAGTCCGTCACTAAAATGCAATCGTGCATCTCCAGGGAACAATAAATATGTCCGGGATAAAACATAGCCTATGGCACTTCGGAATGGAGGAGCTTACTATCCCTGAAACAAGTTTTGGAGTCCTTCCAGTCGGTTTAAAAAACACTTTTAATATGGNTACTACCCTTTTAATATTACGTAAATTGAATAAATATGCCCATCTCAAACGGGATTAAATTTATTGTCATTTAAATATTTTGATATTTAAAAGTCCTTGGAAGCGATTCATACATTAATAATATCAATTTAAAAATATTACTATTGGTGCGACTCACGGTTACCGCACAGGAAAAGTTTTTTAAAAGTACTTTTTATTTAAAACTTCCTTTTAAAATAAGCACATTTACAAACTCCCTGTTTAAGAAAAAATATAGCCCTGGCTTTAATAATTTAATTAAACATATCTGTTTTGAAATATTTTAGAGAAGTATAATATTTATTTCTGCTTATTTTTGATTTTCATATTGCTTTTTTATTGATATAGGTTTACTGGAATCGTTGTTATGTATTACTATTTGAGCCAATAATCACTGCGGTTTTTAGATTTTAAAACGGGCTTAATAGCCGTGTATCTAATGAAAGCCAAGAACTTGAAAATATTTTTACAGCGCTGTGCATACTTTTTCCTCTTTAGGGCTTTAGGGTAGGTTTAAGGAACAAATTGAATACTGTCACTTTGTTTTCACTGTATTTGTTTTCTGTGAAAAAAAATTGAGACTCAATTTTTATTTTAAATAAACATTTACAAAATTAATAGGACCAGAAATTATAGAAATTAGTATTTTATAATTTATTTATTACACATATTATTTTACAGGAAAACACTTTTAGTACTGAAATTAAGTTATTTTGGTCAAATAATTTATGATCGAATAATTTGTTTAAACTTTCCACTGAATTAAATCTCGTTTGATGCTTCTAGTCACTTTATTTTGTAACTTTCAGGAAAAACACTATTTTACAGACTAATATTGGTTATAGTAAGTTTTAAAAGATAGAAATGAAGTTTAGCTGCTTTTAATAAATTATCTAAATTATTATTAAGACACTCCAATGATCTTAAATCATACAATAACTTTACTATCTCTTTAACAATTTCTCTTTTTATTATTACAGGAATTGCGAAAGGGAGTAATTTAAAAAAGATAACACTATATTAAAATATTTACAAAAAAAAAAGTATTTAAGTATGTTTATATTCATTGTCTAGTACCCATAGTACAAGCTTTGCTTAGTTTGGGACTAGAAGCGCAGTGTAAAATGTCCAAGGATATTTATTTATTTATTTATTTATTATTTATTAAAGCTTTCCGTATTAACCAGAGTGTAAAAAACCCGAACGCGCGAACTTTAATTGCAGTTCACACGGCGTCTGTTTTAATAATCACAGAGCGTTTACAAATTGAAAGAGAGAGTTGGGACACCAAAACCCGCTTTCCCACATTCCGCCGATAAAAGGGAAACCCGTATCAACTTTACGCGGGCGGAAAAGGATGGGGAGTAGGAAATGCGGTAGGTGCGAGAGGGTGGCAGCTAAAAGTGTAAGGGCTTACCTCCTCACAGCTTCTGGTGGCCTGGTAGTCGGTTACAGAGCGCGTAACACGCGGCGTCCGGCGTCCGGCGCGGCGGCGAGCTGGAGCGGCGGCACGGCACGACTGCATTCGCATCCGCTCCGATGTGGGTGGTGCAATTTGTGCAAGCGAGACTGCAGCGCCCGCCCATTCGCCTCGTGCCTCACTTTCCCGCCCTACTGTACTTCGCAACTTTAAAACTAAACTTCACTTAATCAACTGTAAAATTACTTTTGACAACAACTTTATTGTTTAGACAAGTCAAAGATGTGTGATGTGACTCGATTTTTTGGAGACACTAAATAAGTTTAACTAAAAATGTTCGTAACGCGAACGTGGTTGAGAGTCTTCTCTCAATTTGTGTGTGACTTGTTATGGCTAGACGATATCTGAATTTGTCTTAAACTTACAAGCTCGGCGGGGCGGAGCCCGCCCGCCCGGTCGCTACGGAGACCGGGCGACCTTGCACGCACTCACACGTGTGTAGCTCCTGTAATTTTTCACAATTCACATAACTATAGTTGATTATAAAATTGAAATAGCCTTGGTAAGTGCCTGTAATGAGACCTAGCTAGAAAGAGCTCATGGCCCTTTAATAGAAAATGCCCTGGAGATAATGCCGTTACTTATAGGTAATTTGTCTGTACTTACTGCTATCGATTTTGTAGTGGTCTTTCATTAAAGATGTGGATTACCAAAGTGGATATTAATTTGACTTTTACGAAGTGGAGTGAAAAAATATTTTTTTGTATTTTTTTTAATTCAATTGATTTTCGTGTGTGATTTTAAAATAAATAAGTAACCTAAACCTTAGTATACCTAAGCAAAGATTTAATGAGCATTAGTACTTACAGTTTCAAATATGAACTATTTACTCAGCAGTTTTTCCAATTGAATAAATATTCAACTTTGTGGACTTCGAACTTTCTGTGAAGCCACAAGTAACTCGCGCGATGCATGCAAAAATGTGTAAAGTATCAAGAAGCAAGTTTCAATACGCGCTCGCTTTGATTCCACCCAATGGCTATAAGATGTAAACTACTTTACCACCCCGAGCCGCACTAATAATAACGTAAGGTGTGGAGAATAGAACTTTTTACTTATGAAAACCTAACGCCTACATTTTCAGGATTTTATTACTTTTTTGCTGCGCAATAGAGCGTGGAAAGTTTTAATTTCAAAAATTATGTCTTCAACTTACTCGTCGTCCTTTTGTTCTTGCTTGGTTATCTTACTGTAGGTATGTTATATGAATAAAATATTTTTCTGCAACTAGTGAGATGTAATAACCTTTTTAATGAAGCATATCAACCATTTTATTTTCTAATTTATATGTATAACTGACCCCCTATTAAATACTTACCTACATGCTGCCATCAAGAACGTAACTACAATAAACAATATGTCCTTTTTTGTGTCTCTTAAATACCTATCAACAGTTAATTTTACGAATATAATAAGCTACTTCATAACACAGTAACTAAACGACATTGACTCTATCCAAAAGCACAATAACTCCTAATCATATACCCACTGAAATTAGATCAATACAGCCCTTAGTTCCCGAGATAAATATGGCTCAGATAATGGCGCTTCATGTATGAAAAACAAGTAATAGTTACGACGTAAGCAAATCGTTTCCATAACCCGACTCGACGGCGCGTGAACCGCCCTGTTTATAGGAAGACTAGTTTGCGACCCTGGCTTTGTCTGACAATTAATTTTAGATTATGTTGTGCGTCTTTTCAGAACTCTGTTTTAAAATAAACTGACACTTTTTAGACACCAGCAGGGCTTTGATTTCAGAATATCTTTACAAATATTCCGGTGCAATTCTAAAGTTTGTTTTTTGCCTGTATCCCATATCTATCCCATATCATTAAACAATCGGTGAGGAACTGTTAAATAATCTTTTAATATTATAATCTATCTATCTAATCTACATAGTGCTCTACTGTTTGAGTTGAGAAAGAAACACAAACAAACATACAGTTACATTACATTAGTCGAGATTTTAAACGTACATTTTATGGTGGTTTCATAATTTTCTCTTGCTATTTCAGTCAACCTACGCTTAGTGATCTTTTTAAAGATGTATCGAAAGTGACATAAGTATTAAGTTACGCTTAGAGACAGCTAAAAGGTACCTAGAACTTGTTTGAACTTTGATGACAGTATAGGTACTGTGGTACAGTTGTTTTGTTCAATGTTAAAACTTGTTAAAACCTCATGAACCTCTACTCTCATCTTAATAGGTGCATGTTGATACTTTACTGAATTATGATTTTTTTTCAAGATAAACTTTAAATAATGATTCATGATCTACTTATGTTATTACATCTGTTTATTTCACTTCAACTAACCGAATTGTTTGGGATTACAAATGCATTTTATGTATTCACACAAGTTTGAAATTAATACAATTCTAAATAAAATTCAGTCAGGTGATTCCGTCTGCTCGTTTGCTTCCAGTCACATAAAAAAACCTTCGACATACCGCGCCGGTGGCTCAGCAAATAAAACCTGAAAGAGATAAAATTTCAGTAAACTATAGACCATTAATGAAGTCAAACCATACAAGTATTGCGTTATATAACTTCTTGTTATGGGTAAAGCAAAAGTGTACACTTGGTTGTTTCTGTAAAAAATAAAATATCTGTTTGAGTTTAAATTTTGTGCGGAAAATAACAATGCCGTAAACTGGCAGTGCTCTTGTTTCTGCTACTTTAAGATGAATAGTAAAACGCTGGAACCCTTGTCTAGCATTGGCTCTTTTTACAGTTCTTTTTCTTAAAGTACTTCCGTTATTTTTCAGTGTAAACTTTCTTGTGTAACAAGTCCATAAAATGGTTGTAGCACTATTAGTAGATCAACGTCACAAGTTTTGTAATTGATATTGGATTTATTTTTTATCGGAAGAATTTACACTGTGCTTCATGAATTATTTAATGATGACAATCATTCACGATCACGGACGAACATGTAAAACTGTAAAAAAAGAAACATGGCATTGATTACATAAGTAATAAATCTGATTCATAAGTAATAAATTAAATCAGTTATTATGTTCTTTACAAATTTTATTCATGTAACACACAAAAGTAATCAAATGTGCCATTTCATGGAAACAACAGTTTTAACATTTTTATTCCGATTTTAAGCATAATATCGGCTGATATGGTTACAGGTAGGTAGGTAAGTTAAAACCTCTTACCTGTAAGTACTTATATATTACTGAATCTGGGTCCCCCAGATATGTTTTGTTAAGCGCAAAGACTTGAGTAAATCACAGTGCCTCATCATTATTTTACTCAAAATAGTGATTAGGATTTTTAAAAAAGCTCTAATTTATATAAAAGCTATTGCTGTGGTCTATCTATACCATAACACTCTACAGTTAGGTGTTTGTCCATCAACAAATCGGATACTCCAAATTCTGCTTTAGCTGGCGTTCTCTCGTCAACGGTGATTTGATGTCATTGATTTCAGTTTGGGACTACAATAACAAACATCCTTCTATTCAAAAGGCGACAGGGATGGCACTTTACTGAAGCGAGCTTATTTTGATTTTTGAGAGAGATGTCGGTACCTATATCATTTTGCTTATTAGCTTAGAATATCTTACTGCTGCAACATTAGCATAATTATTACTAAAATTATTATCTACCAGCTCTTCTGGTGCAAGTGCTATAGGCTGTATATACGGTAAATCGACTGACGATCCTAAAAGTTCTGATAGATTGCATTAATTTCATTTTATCTCTTCGTTACAGCCCTACTACCATTATAATAAAAAGTCACGCAGGATGTACAAAATGACTAGCAAAAAAAGCTAAGCGATCACGTCATCTAAATAAAGTCCCATTATATTGCCCACTAGCTTTCCGCCCGCGGCTTAGCCCGCGTAGATTTTTGTCTGTCACGGAAAAACTTTATCGCGCGCGTCCCTGTTACAAAAACCGGGATAAAAACTATCCTATGTCCTTGACTCAAACTATCTCTATGCCAAATTTCATCAAAATTGCATCAGTGGTTTAGGCGTGAAAGCAAGACAGACAGACAGAGTTACTTTCGCATTTATAATATTAGTATAGAAGTATAGATTATATAAAGTTGCTTGATGAAAAAAAACACTGAGACATGTTTTTAGCTATTTATAGCTGCTATCTAGTTTTATTAAATACTTCCTGGTAACGTGTCCTTACATGTCCATCAGTAGAGCGCTTTCACATTTACTTAGACCATTTAGCAGCGCGACAAACGCGCGACAGGCGCGTTGCGGAAAATTTCAGTATGTGACAGTGAATGCATGCCTTCACATTATAAAAACACCGCGCTGCAGTCGCGCTACTAACGCCCGTTTGTTTGTTTGTTTCGTTGAAAGTAAATATTCCGTATATTCTTCTCTCTTACCTCGAACACTAAAACGTAGTTCTCAGCAACCCTACCGGGCGACGCCCCGTCCAGTTCCCACAAAGATTCTGGATGTGCTGCCCGTAGCAAGGCTGGCAATTACCGCCCGAAATTAGGCCCGATCGACGCCCGCGGCGGGCAGCACTAGGGCGGGCGCATAATGACGCTGGAAGGTTGCAATGTGAAGGTCTAGTTTGACCGAATAACACTTCCTTTTTGTTTCTTTTCTTTTAGTGATAAACTTACACCACTTAACACACCAGGTGCGATTGCGGTCAAATACCTGCCTTGTCATGCATAAAAAAAAGAGCTCTTGGCGTTCACATCTAAGTGATAATCTGGCCGAAGATAGAAGCGAGATTCAACCGGTAACCTTTACAATAAACGAATGGCTCCCTTATAGATATCTCACTCTCGCACTAGTGAGGTACCATAATGACATTATATTGTTATAGCGACGGATTTAGGTAAGTAGTTAGCCATCAACAGTCTTCGAAACAGATAACCTTTTTTTTGGCACTAATAGTTTAGATAGTGAATGATAATAAACTAACTAGTTTTGGTTCTATATCTAAATCGAATCTAATTTAAAATAATGTTGTGACTATAAATGACCAATATGAACGAGTCCTAAGTATTGGTCAGGTCAGTGTTATGAGC